TATTTTTAGGCTCCGTGTCATTCGTGCAAAGGCATAATCACTTCCTGCCTTCCAGGAAGGAAATGTCCCACCGCCGCTGCCTGCACGCCTGCCTCCTCCTCAGGCAATGCCTGCCTGCCTGCTCTCAGCCCAGCCACCCCAAAAAACGCTGTTCCCCCCCATCCAGGGAGGGTAAACAACCGGGACGCCGCTCGGTTTGTGACGAGTACCACGGTCCGGAGCGCTGCAGGGAGAAGAGGGAGTGTTCGCCCCAGCCAGCACTAAGAGGATGCGCCGGGGAAAGGGCAGGGAAAGAGGTCCGGAAAAGTCCGGCAGCCATCGGAAACGCAGCCTGGATGAGGCTTCTGGACGTTTTCAGCCTCGAAAAGCTACAGATGCCGGCCAGGAGCCCAGTGGGAGCAGACAGCCTTCCTCCTAAGACATCCTCCACGTCCCAGCGGCACGGCAGCGAGGGTGACCCCGTCCCGCACGGGGGGTGGGAGGCCCCCGGGCTCTGCGCCGCACCCTGCACGTGCCAGCGGGAAACCCATCCCTGAGCGATCCCAGGCTTCCCGCTCCTCCCGTGCTCCCCAAGTGAGAGCTGCAGAGCCAAACCCCAGACCCCGAGCAGGGAAGGCACTGTGGTTACATCTGCTCCTCTTCCTCCTCCGTCCTCATCCTCCAGCAGGGAGCCATCCTGCAGCTCCCCGCTTCAGAGTCTGCTCCCCAGACGGCTTTTGGGGGTGTAAGGCAAGGGATGCAAACTCCAAAAATTACTTCGGGGGACTCGAGCCACAGCAGGCACGAGCTCCCCGCTTGGGTCAGCCTCCAACGAGGCAAAAAGAGGGAGAGAAAAGCCCCTATTAAATAGGAAACAGGACTGCAAAGGCAGGAGAGGTGGGAGGATGCCACGGGGCGGATGCTGGGCCTCAAAACTAGTGAGCCATCTATTTTCCAGAGGTTTGAAGCCCAGCGTTGGCTCCGGATAAACTCTCCTTGCCACGGCTGGGGCACCTCGTGCCCACGCTGTAAGGTCTGTGTTCCTGGAGCAAAACAAACCTTCTCCCCATCGCCCCCCGCCCTTTGGCTTGGGGGGACACACCCAGAGGGGACCGTACCCAACAAACACCCCGGCTCCCCATCTCCCGGGAGGGGGGTGGCAGCCACCCAGGGGTGGTGCTGGGAGAGGGGGGGCACCCTCGAGGGCTGAGCCCCTCCACCCCCTTCCCCACGCACCGGGCTGGGAAACGAACCCCCACCACACCCGGGGAAGGGATGAGAGGGGGAGCCGGTCCCGGGGGGGGGCGGATGGCGAGACCGGGGCGAGGGTGGGGGGAGGATGCCTGGGACCGGGATGGGGAGGATGGCCGGTCCCGGGGGGGGTACGGTACCTGGGGGCGGCTCCGGGCTCAGCTCCCGCGCCGGGCTGGCCACGCCGTCGGGCGCCCCATGGGGGCGGCGGGAGCGGGTGGCGGGAGCGCAGCCCCGCGGCCGCGCCGACCGCCGGCGCCTCGGCGGAGGAGGGACCGGGCGGGGACGGGGATGGGGCCGAGGGGAGGCCGGTACCGCCCCCACCCCGCTCCGGGACACGCCCGCGGTACCGCCCCTTGCATCCCCTCCCAGCCCCGCGGGGACCCTCCGGCCACGGCGCCGGCCCTCGGGGACCCCCGGCACGCAACACCCCCCGCTCACAGCACCCCCAAACACAGCACCCATCCCCTCGGGGACTCCCGGCACACAGTACCCCCAAACACAGCACCCATCCCCTCGGGGACTCCCGGCACACAGTACCCCCAAACACAGCACCCATCCCCTCGGGGACCCCCAGCACACAGTATCCCCCAAACACAGCACCCATCCCCTCGGGGACCCCCAGCACACGGCACCCCCCCATCCACAGTCGCTGTGCCCTTAGGGACCCCATGAGATGCAGTACCTATCCCTTCAGGGACCCCCAGCACACAGCACCCCCCAACAGCACCCATCCCCTCAGGGACCCTCAGCATGCAGCACCCACACTCAACAGGGTCCCCTGGCACAAAGGGGTCCCCTGTCCCCAGGAACAGCCCTCAGCCACAGCATCTGTCCCCCTCAGGGACCCCCAGCACACAGCAACCCCCAACCACATTGATCCTTCCATACTCTCCCAGTGACACCTCCCTGGGACAGAGAGGGGACAGGCAGGTGTCACCACTCCAGGCAGGTTTGCAGTTTGGGGAACATCAAGGCAACACCTCTCAAAGCCAAAAAGCCCTTTTCCTTCCCAGAAATGGAAGAGCAGGGAAGGATGTGTGTGATGGGGGTCAGGGCGAGGGATGCTACAGGATCCAGGCTGGGATTGGAGTGAGGGGCTTGCAGGGAGCCCCTGCCCTGCTACTTTTGTACACAGTCTGGCTTGGATTGGAAAGGACCTCAAAGAACATCTTGTTCCACCTCCTGCCATGGGCAGGGACACCTTCCACTAGCCCAGGTTAATCCAAAACTCATCCAAACTGGCCTTGAACACTTCCAGGGATCCAGGGGCAGCCACAGCTTCTCTGGGCAACCTGTGCCAGGGCCTCCCCACCCTCACAGGGAACAATTTCTCCCTAATACCTAATCTAACCTTCCCCTCTGGCAGTGAAAAGCCATTCCCCCTTGTCCTGTCACTTCATGCTCTTGTCCAAAGTCCCTCTCCAGCTCTCTTAGAGCCCCTTTAGCCATTGGAAGCAGCTCTAAGGTCTCCCTGGAAACTTCTCCAGGCTGAACACCTCCAGCTCACCCAGCCTGGCTCCATAGGAAACATCAGGGCAGCTCCTTACCCCCAAACACGAGAGCCATCTCTCCTTGCTCGGGCCACTCAAACTCCTGGGAAATAAGACTGCTGCCCACTCAGCTGCTTCTCAGCACATACAGACATCACAGTGGGTCCCTGCCATGACTCCACCTGTACCAGCGGGTCCAGCACCCAGGTCTGCTCATCTGCTGGTGTCCAGCACAGCACAGCACAGCCTGAAGCCATCAGGTGGCTTCGGGTTTCCCCACTGCCATGGAAACGTGCTATTTTAGCTAATCCATAAAACCCCAGTCCCTTCAGCTCCTACCTGCCCTCCCACATTTCAGCTGGGTTGAAGCAGGGTCCCTCAGAGCCCCCCTTCTAGGAGGAACCCAGCGCCAGCTCCCACCCACCGCTGCCGTGCTGCTCCGGATCAATGTTTATAGGATACCAACAGCTGAAGGAAAAGGAGAAAAATGGCATTAACACGTTTAGTGGTGCTGGGAAGGAGGGCCAGGAATGTAAACGCAGCCCGGAGGCAGTCCGAAAATGGTAGTGGCTGGAAAGCAGGGCTGGAAAGTTTGCTCATCGGGATCCTAGATATTAGCCAGGCTCCCGGCCTCCAGCTCAGCCAAAACACCCTGCCCTGAGCTGCTCTGCTGCACTTCACAGTCCTAGACTGACATTTTATAACTTTTTAAAACTTATTTTATTTTAATTCTCCATTTTTAGCTCCCGATTCAGCATGTAGAAACTTCCCTGGGGAGGAGCACATCCAAAGGGATACACAGACACACAGCTCTCTGCAGGGGTTTCAGAAGCCAGGATTAACAAATAAAAAACACCCCAAAATTTTGGGAGGAAACCAGTTGTCTCTCCCCCGAGCTTGGCATCGCGGGAGCAGAGCCAGACCCGGAGGAAAGAAGCTCCCAAATGCCTCATCAGCATTTTTCCCGTCGTGTTCCTCTCCTCCGTACACACGCTCCGAAATTCCCTGACACTGCAGAATTTAACTGCGGCAACGAGCTCCGAACCCATGGGAGGTCACGGCAGGACCACGCTGAGCGTGGCCAAACCAGGGTGCACCGAGGGCACCCCCAAACCAGCTCTCAATCCTCAATCCATCTCAATCCCGCGGGATTGAGTGTTTTGGGAATGTGACGTGTCACTGTGGTATTTCACACACGGAGCTGCACGCCCAAGTTTGCTGAAACACCCACAAAAGTTTGGGGGCACCCTCTGTAGCCAGAGGGAGAGGACAACCTCTGTTGTCCTCAGTGCCCTCCCTGCCATGGGGGGAAAGGCTTTTGCTGCTCAGACCCCTCCCCAGTTAGAGTGGACGGTATAAAAGAGACTGATCTGGTTTAAAAACTTTTTAAAACATTATAAATTATAATATACTAACATACATTAATGGTGTCCCACCCCTGGAAGTATTCGAGGGCAGGTTGGATGGTGCTCTGAGCAACCTGGTCTAGTGGAAAGTGTCCCTGCCCATGGCTGGGGGGTTGGAACAAGATGGACTTTAAGGTCGCTTCCTTAAACCATTCCATATGATTATTAAAATGACAATTGTCCCAGACCAGGACAATTTATGCTAACACATCTCTATCAACATAGCGCCACCTCACCTGGGATCCTCCAGGAGCAGCAGGGATGGGGTAGCCAAGCCTACAGCATGAGCTGAGGGATGCAGCCGGGATTAAATATGCTCCTGGGCATGGGGAGAGCACAGGTGGGGCTGCTTGGGACTGATGAGGTCCATCAGGGCCCTCAAGGATGAGCCCAGATGGGAGTGGCTGTTCCCCCGTGTTCACACCCACCTGTTCTCCTTGGCCAGGACTGATTTCATATCACAAAATCATGGAATGTTCTGGGTTGGAAGGGACCTTCAAGACCATCTCGTTCCAACAGCCCTGACATGGGCAGGGGACACCTTCCACTAGACCAGGTTGCTCCAAGCCCCATCCAACCCAGCCTTGAACATTTCCAGGGATGGGGCAGCCACAACTAGAAACAGGACAAATGATCAGTTTGGGGCAATTTTGGGCATGGGAGACCTCTTCATGGGAAAATCAGATTTTTCTGTGCATGACATTTTGCAATTAAGTCCCCCCTTAACCCTCTCCTGTTGGTTCTGGGTTTGACCCTCCCCTGCTCTTTGTACCACTGGGGGTTGACCCGCAAGGGGGGGTTTGCTCCAAAGGGAAGGGAAAATCCTCCCTGCACCCCAGGTCACGGTCAGAAGAAAACTCCAGCACCCTGATTTAATAGAACCAAGATCTTTATTGATCTCACTGTAACAGCAACCACTGGCGAGAGCTTTTCTCCTCCCAAACACCTGCTTGAAGAGACGGTAAAAAACAGCAAAAAATCCCAAATGGATCCCCTGACTAGCAGAGGAATGCCCCGGCGAGGCCAGGCACTCCCTCCCTGCTCTTCAGCCCCAAGCCTGATTATAGAAGAGAACCGGGAGAAAGGCACTGGGATGGGGAATGGAGACAAAAGGAGGCTGGGAAAGGGGGCATTTAGGGAAAAAAAAAAAAAAAAGAAGTGTTTTCCCTCTGGCTCCTGTCCATAAGTTACGTTGTCCTTGGATATTGTCTAATCGTTTTTGGCTTGGAGAGCAGGTTTCCCAAAACGAGCAGCTGTGCCGAGGGCGCCGGGTCCCCGCATCCACGGTGGCCGTCCCCGCTCCACGAAGGATGTCCTCGCCCCCTGCCCCTGCCACTCCCTCGATCCGAGGGCCTAACCGACCTCCTAGGATCTTCGCTTTAAGGAAAATATATTTATTTATATATAATATATATATTTGTGTGTGTCTTATCACCACCCACCCACACGTGTATACGTATGTCCACTTGCACTCACTCACTCGCGCGCCTACGACGGCCGGGCTACGTGTTCACCTTGCGCTTCCCGTGCCAGGGAAAAGGATGGGAAAGACATCCCAATTCCCCTGGGTTGTGCTTTTGGATTTCTCCCCCCCCTAAAATGAGCAGCAGCCCCACCCTCAAGAGAAAAGTTGGAAGATGGGAGCTCGCAACCAGCCACCACGCCGACCCACACCAAACACGCCTAGAGAAATAAATTACGGGATGGAAAGTGCACAAAGCCTGTGGGACGTCCCTGTCCCCGGCATGCAGAGCCACGGATCCCCCAGGGCTGGGTACCGAGGTGGGGGGTGACCCCGGCAAGGGAGGGAGGATGGATGGAGCAGGCACTCGGGTGGGGGCTGATAAAATGGCACTTGAGAAGGTTGCGGAGCTGGTGATAGCTCCCAGCAGGCAGGAAAAATCAAAACGGGGGGCTGGTGGGATTGGGGGTGCACAGCAGAGCCCCACCGTGCACGGCCTCACCCAGCACTGCTCGTCAAGGAGAGGGAGGAGGAAAAATAAATTCCATCTCTGGGGGGGGGAAGGGGTTCAAGATGCCAGGCATGGGATGGCCACGACGTGCCAGGCTGGCAAAGCCGCCGGCGGCAGGGAGGTTAACATGGAAATCCTTTATCCACGGCAGAATGATGGAGGTGGGAGGGAAGTCCCATCCCAAAGAGCAAGTAGAGGACGGCACCGATGCCAGCACCCTACAAATGGAGCACCCCGTCCCTGCGGTGCCTCACCAGCGAGCCCCCAAATCCCCGGGGACACCCAGCGATTCCTGAGACATCCAACGGTGCTAAGGGATCTCCCTCCTGTATTATTCACATTTTAAAGGGCCGGGGGTTTAAAAAAAAAAAGAGCACTACAAAGCACTTTCCCAGAGGCACTTGTCCCCAGCCCAGAAAAAGAGTTGTTGGGAGTAAAGTGCCCCTTTTTAGTACCAAAAAAATAAAAGCAAGGGGTTTTTCTAACATATGGCTGTGTCACTGGGAGTCCTGGCTGGCGGGCTGGGGACACAGCTCCTGGTTGAAGGGCCAAGATGGAAGAAATCCAGGTAGGAGAGATGTGGGCGCACTGGCCAACGCCAGTGGGACTGTGTCGGATCCCCGGAGCACCAAAGGGAATGGGCTGCAGAAGTTGTCCTCTGTTGAATGCCAGCACATCCTGGAGGGGCTCAAATAATACCCTCCTCGGGGTGCAAGCAGGCACGTGGTTTTAAGAGTGATGTTTCCTCCTCCTCCCAAGAGGCTGCCCAAATTTTCCGGGAGAAGGGGGCAAAGGGAATGACGCAGCTCCGGCAAGCTGACGGCAATGGGAGGTCTGGGATAGCAGGAGGGGGTTTTTGAGGGGGTATGAGGCAGCACAAGAGGCAAAGGGATGTTTCAGAAAGAAGCCCGGTGGAGATCAGGCTGTTGGTGGGTGGAGGAGGAGGAACGGGGCCGGATCCAGAAGGGATGCTCTATCCGGCACATGCTGGGACTGGTCACCCACAAAGGGGGACAAGACAGAGCTGCACTCCCCAAAAAAAGGGGGGAGGCGGGCGGGGGGGGGACGCTGGTGGGGACCCACTGCCACCTCCGCCTCGCTGGGACAGATCCTGCTAAGCCGAATGGGGGGTGCACAGGTCTGGGGAGTCGCTGCCTCTCCGTGGTTCCTGCTCAGATATCCATCTCGAACTGAGCGTCGTCCCCTGGTAAGATGCAGGGAGAGACTCATTAGGGGGTCGTCCCCCCCGCCCCAAATCTCCCCAGCCCACCCCGGGGGGGTCCCTTACCCATGGCTGGCTTCCCCTCCTGGTGGTTCAGACTGTTGCTGTCCTCTTTGGGCTCCTCGCCGGCCTCGCCAGGGCTGGTAACGCCGGGAATGTTGGGGAGATGACAAGGAGGGGTCTTGGCCATGGGGGAGTTGCGGCGGTCCAGCAGGAACTTGCGGTCGTAGATGATCCGGGTGCCTGGAGGGGGGAAGCGAGAGGAGAGTGGGAGAATCTGGTTCGGCAGCGCTTGTTTGCAGAAGGAGTTTCCCGGTGGGACGGGCGTCCCAGCCGAGGCTCTCCGCCAAGACCGGAGGGGAGGGCAGGGGGGTGCGCGCTGCCGCTCTGCTCGCTCTTATCTGGGCACGACACGCGATAATTCCACGCTGGACAAACAGCCCCGGCGGCAGCTGGGTCCCGGCTGTCCCGGCCACTGGCAAACTCGTGGCAGGGCTGGGCACGCGTCCCGGGGATGCCGATGGATGTGGCGCCCCGAAACGCCCCGTGTCCCCCTCCCCTGGACAGGGACGAGCGATGTGACGACAGGGCCGAGCCCCGGTGCCCGCGTCCCACCGGGGCCTCTCGCCGCCCCGTCCGGGATCCAGCTCCCGCCCCGCCGGGACCCTCCGCGCCCCGGGAAAATAATAAACCCACCTCCAAGCGCGCTGCTTTAAGGAGAGCGAGCGGCAGGCGCTGCCTACAGACGGCACAGGGAGGGGGTAGAGGCGCGGTACGCCCGCGATGGGCGCGACACGCGGCGCCCGGAGCGGACGGGCGGGCTGCCCCGCAGGCCCCGAGGCGGGCGCGGCGCTTTTACCTCCCGGCGTGGTGGAGAAGAGCGTCCCGCCGGGGGTGGTGCAGTAGTCGGCGGGCAGCTGCGCGGCGTCGCTGAGGGTGACGGTGCGGGTGGGGATGGCCCGGCTCTGGCTGGGCTGGCGGCCGGCGGACGACATGGCCCCGCTCCGGCCCCGCGCTTTGTCCCCGCGGAGGCGGCGCGGCCCGGCCGGCACCGCCCCCCGCCCCGCCCCGCCCCGCCCCGCCCCGCGCGCCGCCGGCAGGGGGCAGGCGCGAGGCCGCGCCGCCAGGAGCCGGCGCTCCCACGTGGTCTAGCGGTGAGGATTCCTGGTTTTCACCCAGGCGGCCCGGGTTCGACTCCCGGCGTGGGAAAGGCGGCTCGCTCTTTTTTTTTTGGGGGGGGGGAAGGGGGGCCTTGCTCATCCCATCCTGTCCGCGGTTCCTTCTGCTGAAATGTTTTGGCAAGGCCGAGCTGGGCGAAGTTGGTGGGAAAGGGGATGGGATCCCCATATCCCAAGAGAGGGAATGGGATTCATCCGCATATCCCAAACCAGGGAATGGGATTCATCCCCATATTCCAAACTGGGAAAACGGCATGGATCCCCACATCCTCTACCAGGAAAGGGGACACATCCTCATGTCCCATACCAGGAAAGGGGATGCATCCAAATATCCCAGACCAGAAAAGAGGAGGCATCCCCATGTCCCAAATGAGGAAAGGGGATGCATCCCCACATCCCAAACCAGGAAAACGGCATGGATCCCCATATCCCAAACAAAGAGATGGGAGGTATCCCCATATCCCAAACAAGGAAATGGGATGCATCCCCATATCCCAAACCAGGAGAAGGGGATGCATCCTTATGTCCCATTCCAGCAAAGGGGATGCATCCCCATATTCCAAACCAGGGAATAGGATGCATCCCCATGTCCCAGACAAGGAAAGGGGATGCATCCCCATATCCCAAACCAGGAGAAGGGGATGCATCCTTATGTCCCATTCCAGCAAAGGGGGTGCATCCCTATATCCCAAATGTGCCATTCTGGAAAGCCGGGAATCACATCCCTGAGGGCCATGCCAGCCCCAGCACAGCCTCCCTCCCTGCCCTGGGAACAGTGATCCTGCGTGTTATTTTTAGCATCCCTCTCCCGAGAGGCCGGAGCGGCTGGTTTCCTCCTCCAGCCGTGGATCCCCCCGCCCGGAGCGCGTTCCCGGCGGGACCGGGCGCCCACATGCAGAAGAGGATGGGCGAGGCGGTGGCCCGTGTGGCCAGGAAGGTGAACGACACGGTGGAGAACAAAACGGATTCCCTGGGTAAGGCCGGAGCTCCGTCTCGGCTCCCGCTCGGGGCCCGGAGAAGGATCGGGTATCCGGGAGCGGGGCTCTATTTTTTGCTGCCACAGTCTAAAAAAAGCTGTGGGCATTCCCTACGGGCGCTGCACCCGCGGCTCCGGAGGAGGGAAGGCTCCCCTAAAGGGCTCTCAGCCCCCAGAGTTAGAGCAGGTTCCCAGCCATGGCACGTAACCCCATGGGACGTGTTTCAGGAATACAGTCCCTCCTTGCAGGCGGTGGCAGGAGCAGGGGTTTCCCCACGTTGCCTTGTCAGATCTGTGTTTTCCTGCAATTTCTCCCCTCGTTTCCAGCTAATATCCGAGTGCAGGGAGCAGTTCATCAAAGGAGAGGGATGAAAGCCTCTCATTCTCATTCCTGCTGGATTCCCGGTGCTGGGATAATAAACCAACCTACGTCGGGGAGCTGGAGCTTCATCCCTCAGCTCCTCCACATCCTCCCGAGCGAGGGAAGCGTGGGAGGACCGAGCTCGTGGCTTTGGGGAGGGGGAGGAAGCAGAGCCCGGGTTGAGCATCAGGGGGCCGGGATACGAGGTTTCCATCCCCGGCATCTCCCAGGAAGGGAAGCAGAAACAACTCAGAGCAAAACAAAACCGCCAAGAGTTGAGAAGCAGAGCCAAACCCTGTTCCCTTCCTCGCTGCTTGCCATGGGACAAACACCCATCACCAGTGAGGAGTGTGCCTATGGAAAGCCCTACTCCATCCCCACCAGACGTGGAGGCTGCATCTCTGCCCTGCTCCATCAACCCCAGGGATTTAGGGACACAGGGAAGGGGCATGACTGAAGTTATTAGACATGGACAGGCTGGGGTTTCCAAAAAAACATTGCAGCCTGGAAGCAGTTTCAATGTGATTTAGGGTTGAATGCCTAAGGCAGAACAGCCCTGGCGTTCCTGATGGGATCAAACTCCTGGTGCTTGCAGAGGTGGCTGCAAATATCCCTGTAATGGAGAGGAGTAGGCAGGGGAGAGCACTCAGATGGGCAAATTGAGGAGTAAGGGGTGGAAAACCAGGTGGAAAGCAGGGCTCCATCCCGGCTGGGTGCATTACAAGGTGCCAGGGTTCTCTCCGAGGGCAGATCTGGCCAACTGCAAGCTGATGACCTTCCCTGTTGGAATCTACAAAGCCATGAGGAGCGTCACCGAGGGGATCCATCGCATCTCCCTGGCAAACAACGAGCTCAAGTCCATCACCAGCCGATTTGTCACCACCTTCAGCCAGCTGAGAGGTGAGGGACGGCCACTTCCACACCCCTGGCACCCTCAAAGAGCCCCCAGGGGCACAGCACTGGGGAGTCTCCCCTCTGCAGTTTTCACTCCTCTGTGCTCACACCTCATTCCAAGCAGACTTATCCAGACCCCCAAAAATCCATTTTTCCTTATCGTTCCCACCCCTTGCAGGAAGAGGGCACTGGTTTTGCTCACACTCATCCTCCCAAACTCGTGTTCTGACACCTTCCAGCAGTGGCCAGGCTGCTGTGGGGGTCATTCATCATCCTCCAGCTCCCTCCAAGGAGCTGGAGCCGCTCCTGTGGATAACGGGGCATGGCAGAGATGGGGCATTCCAGACTGCTGAAGGCACGTTGGCTTGGTGGTGGTTAATTAGTCCCCCTCCTGAGACATCAGTGAGAGTTAATCACTGCAGGAAATGGGGATGATCATCAGTGCCATGGGGACACATCCCTGTGGAGCCCAGTGAAAGCAACCAGAAGCTAATCCACCAAAATACGGCCATGCAAGCACTCAGAGCATTCAGTACCACGATGCTAAACACTGGAAACTGGACTGGGGCTGCTCTGGCAGCTTATAAAATCAATTATTTCACTTGCAGAATGTGCCACACAACTGCCACTGTGGTGTGTGTCTGGGGAGGCTTCTCTTGTTGTGGAGCTGGAGCTCCCCTAGTCTGGGGAAAAGAAACATGTCGAGCAAAGGAAATCAATTTTTGTTTGCTAGACAGCACAACGAGCCCTGAAGGGAAAAAGTTTGGTTTCCCAGCAAGGGCTTTGTTCCACCAGTGAACGAATCACTCCAGCGATGAACATGCCAGGTCTCAGCAGGGCTGTTGCTGGGTAGAGATGCCTCAGGGCTGGGGACAGCCTGAATAAGGCAGGACCTATAAATACCAGGTATTAGCAGGGGCAGGGCAGCTCCTGTGGGTATTTATAGAGCAGAAAGCCCTGTGTCACTGGAGAAGGGCGCTGGGACATTGGGGTTTGGGTTCTGTTCCCATGGCTTATGGACTTTGGGGGAGGAGTGCTGCTCCTGGCCCCGCTGGAGCTCATTGCTCGGGAAACACCACAGAAGGGTAAACTCCACAGAGTTATTTTTCACGTATAGGAACTCTTCCACCATTCTGTTTATTCCTCAGGAGGGTTTCAGGCACATGAAGATAAGCCATGACAAGTGTCCGTTGGGGAGGTAATTGTGCTGATTTTACTAGGAAATATTCGTCATTTCTACATCCCCTGCTTGCATAATGCAGCACAGGTTTCATTAGCAAAGCCTGAGGAAGCCAAGAAAAACATCCGCCCTCAAAGTGGCATTCCCAGCAGGCAAAAGTACAATGGCATACCACGGGAAATAGCAAAACATTCCCATTTTTGCAGTTGGAAACCCACTGCTGGACCTGGCAGCCCAAGGGGGACAGAGGCTGTACATTAAGCCATTCGTGAATTATTTCACCACCACCTCTCTTCACAGAACTCAACCTGGCAGGCAACTACCTGCACCGCCTGCCCGAGGAAATCACCTCCCTGCTGCACCTCCGGGCCATCGACCTCTCCCGAAACAGGTTCCGGCGCTTCCCCGAGCCCCTGGCCACTGTCCCCTCCCTGGAGACCATCGACCTGGAAGAGAATGAGATTGCAGGTGAGGAGGGCCTTTTCCCACAGGAGGTGAGGGCACAGGGATGCAGGGCAGATGCTAAATAGCCAGAGCCCCTTTAGCCACGTGCCTTTCCCGTGTTTTCACTGCACCCCAGGGAAAAGCCGCTGCAGGCGCTGAGGGAATCAAGCCCCATTCAAGCTGCCCTATTCACCGCACCGGGATACGGCTCTTTCAGGCACCTCCCGCTGGGCTGACTCAAAATCACCAGATTTCTTTAAAAAAGATGCTGGGCTGGGATGTTTGCTGCCGGGCAAAGCAAGGGCACAAGCCCACCTGAACATTTCCCAGAGAGAGTAGGAGCCGCAACACTACAACATCCCCTAAGAGTGAAATGAAAGGAATGGTAAGAGCTGCTCATCCCTCAACCCCGCAGTGACAGGAAAATCTTTCATGTGCAAAGCTGGAGCCTTTGGAGTCCCCAAAAGCCGGGCAAAGGGGGCAGCTGTTGCACACGGATAAAAGGGGATTTATGCAGGAGGGAGCTTTCAAAGAGCCCAGGTTGGAGCATCCCACAGCCCACACGGATCCCCAGGGAGGTGAATATTGAGTCCGCTCGACTCTGCTGTTTTATCTGGGATTGCTTCAGCTGCTGCTGGGAAAGCTGCTCCCTGAAACACGGGTTTTATTAACAGCATCACATCAGCTGCTCCCCAGCTGCGCCTGCAGAAACACTACACGTTAAATATTGCTTCCATGGGAGCCAGAGAAACCGGGCTCCCCTTGGCTGCTGGTTGTCAGACTTGGGGAAAATAAAAAAAGAGTAAAGTTTAACAATTTCAAGGTAAAATGTTTTAGGGACGTATCTTAGTAGTGCACACGATGCTGTCTGGCTTCAGAAACAGGTGAGATTGTCTTATTTTACACATTTTCTGGAAAAGGAAAAGGTAGAGGCTACAAAGCCAGGGGGCTTCAGCCCATTTTTCCAAGGAAACAAAAGTCTGGGCAATCACACTGCTCCTGCCAGTCCTTACCAAATACCTTCCAGGCCCACCTGCACATGAGTTTGTGTTATATATATATATGGTTTTATACTTTATCTTCAAGCTTGTATTTATATTTATATATATATATATAAAAAAATATATATACATATATATACACCTTCTCCTCTCATGCCAGCCTGGCACAATAGCAGAAGGAGGGTTAGGGAGAGTCCATCACCTTAAATTTAACTGGCACAAATTTGGGTTTTCCTTAACAGCCAAATAGGATTTCACTACCCAGAAATATCCATCAGCTTCTCTGGGTAACCTCATCATCCTCACAAGGAAGAATTTCTGCCTAATATGTCCTCTAAACACCCCCTCTGGCAGCGTGAAGCCACTCCCCCCATCCTGTCACTCCATGCCCTTGTCCAAAGCCCCTCTCCAGCTCTCTTCAGGAGGATGTTGGGGTAGGACCGTGACTTTCTCCCTCAGAGGAAGGCTGCAGATCACCTGGTTTGTGGTGCTGTGCCGGGGCTGGTCCTGCCTGTCCTCCCCTGCCCTCCCGGAGGTGCCAGAGGAACTCAATCCAGAGCTGCAAACCCAACTCAAAAACACCTTCTGAAAAAGGGCTGAGTGACCTACTAAGACATATTGAACTGGAGGTTGTAGGAAACGTTTTCCAGCTAAAGGGAAACAAGAGTAAAAGGAGATTAATTAATGCCTGCCTGGAGCCTGTGGGCTCTGTGAAAGGAGACATTTAATGCCACAACCTGCCCTTTTCATCTCAATAAGCTCTTAAACTCGGACTGTAATTATGTATATATTACTGTCAGTGCTTTTAACTCTTTCCCTGATAATTAGACTTATATCAAATCAGGGTTTTAAGCTCCCAAATCCATGGGGATGCTTGGACGCCTGGAGCTTCAGCTTCTCTTTCCCTTATTCCTTGATTAATAGTTCAATGGAGACGATGTCGAGACTGCTGCCAAGGCTGGGCAGGTCACTGCCGGGGGCAACTGTGGTTAGTTTTGTCCTCCTGAGGACATGTAGTGATGGGACAAGGGGGAATGGTTTTAAACTGAAAGAGAGTATGTTTGGTTTGGATATTAGGAAGAAATTCTTCCCTGTGAGGGGGGGGAGGCCCTGGCACAGGTTGCCCAGAGAAGCTGTGGCTGCCCCTGGATCCCTGGAAGTGTCCAAGGCCAGGTTGGACGGGGCTTGGAGCAACCTGGGCTAGTGGGAGGTGTCCCTGCCCATGGCAGGGGGTGGAGTGAGATGATCTTTAAGGTCCTTTTCAACCCAAACCATTCCATGGTTATATGGTTCTATCACCACTCTTGATGTGAGATAATGGCCCAGAAAAGGCATTTTTATTAATAACCACAGAGGTGCCAGTGAGTTTGGCACCAGCAGGTTTGGAGGAGCCTCGGAGGAGCTGCTGCCACCAAAGGATGTGGTTAATGCTAAAAGGTGACAGGGAAGCAGCTCTGAGCTGAGCAGGGTCCTTTCCCCTTCAATTTGCAGCCATACCTGGCTGTTAGTGTTCATCACCAGCTCCTCAGACGCCTCACAGCCCTTTCATATACACCTCCTCAGATGCCTCCCAATCCTTCAGCATCCCTTTCATCTGAAGGAACTGGGTTTGTCACTCATCATATTCTGCTTTAATTAGGAAAAGCCTCTTTTGCCCCTTTTTTTGTTTGACTGGTGAAGCCAGCACAAATAATTCAGGCTCAAATGCAAGTGCCTTATCTGCTGGGAAGCCAGCAACAGATGTTTTGGGTTGTTTACAGAGGGTTTTGGGGCTCCCGTGGCACAACCTTACAGCTACAGGCTGCACTATGTGCCCTGCCTGTCCCTTCATGCCGGGGTGAGTCACCACTCCTTACCTGGAATTAAGGTGCAGAGTTGGGCTTGTTTCCACTCAGAGCAAGGCTTGGTCCCTAAAATAATTCCCTTAACTCCCTAAATTCAAGCGAAGTGGGGGTAAGCACTTTTAACTTTATCACACTGCACAGACCTAGAAGATGATTAAACTGGAAGATCTGTGAAAAAATAATATTATTTTTGTGCCTCAAGGGGAAAAAAAAGCAAAATGATACAGGAGAATTGCAGTGAAAAAATCCACCATGAAGAAGAGTTATTAAAAAAAATCATGTGAAGCTCTGCCTGATGAGAGATGAGCTGCTAAGGAATACATGTATGGAAAATAGCACTGTTTTCTGGAGGAGAATGAGGGAAAAAACAAAGGCATCGAAGTGTTTGAGCTTTTTTCCAGCATAAAGTAAGTTTCATGGTCTAAAAATCACATAATCATCCAGCTATAATTACAACACCACACTTCTGCTCTAAGTGTTGGCAGAAGAAATGGGAGCTGAGATAAAAAAGGCTCTTGGTCCTTTAGTGACCAAATTAAGAAGAAATTGGTTTTGGTAAATCAGGCAGGCCCAAAATATTGTGATTTGGAGCAAAAAAATCTACCACCTTTGAATGACCTAAATGGTTATTTTTTTGTATCAGTTTCATTCCTCTGCCGTCAGTGGATTCGCATTGGGACCATCCAGGAGAACTGCACCTTTTCTTAACGTTAAGTTCATAAATGTAATGTTTTCTAAAGGAAAACACCCAAATTCATGGAAATTGCAAAATAGGAGGGTTCCTGTTGATGGCCAAGAGCCATTTTGCAGCCTGTCCAAAGAGGGCAAAGAGCACATGCTCTCCTGTTAGCCTGGTGAAGGCTCCTGGGCATTGCAACACTGGGAATAAAATCAGGGAATAAGTCTTTGAATACCAGTTTAGTGCCCCAGCAGGGGGTTTATTAGGACCGGGAGAACTGGAGGGCAGTGTCCACATTGAATATCATGGTGTTCTCGCAAAGACATTTCACAGAATGACAGAATCATTGGAAAAGGCCTCTAAGATCATCCAGCCCAACCCATAACCATCTGTTTGAGTAGATGTGTAATCTAGGATTTTATTATGTTTCTGTTGTGATCAAAGCCTGCAGAGCGGCAGGAGCAGGTTAAGCTCCAGGCTGTCCATCGAGAGGAGCTTCCCCCGCTCCGCCTCTCCGAATTCCCCGGCAGCAGACGCCGGGACGGGTTCTCAGCTCCGCGCTGTCTTTGCAGAGGTGCCGACGGAGAAGTTGGCGTCCATGGCATCGCTGCGGAGCCTCAACCTGCGGGACAACCCCGTCGGCCCCGAGGTGCGGCTGCTCGTCCGGCCCCTCGTCCCCTTCGACCTGCTGCTGTCCCCAGAGGAGCCCGTCCCTGAAGCCTGACAGGGTCTCGGGGTGCCCAGGGGAGCTGTCCCGAGGGGCGACTGCCCACGAGAGTGGTTTGGCTTAGGTCAGTCCCTGCTGCGCCCCTATTCCTGTCCCAAACCTGCGGCGAGGCAGCCAGTCCCTCATTTTACTTTAATGAAAAGCGAGCAGCGGGGCTCCTCCGTGAGCGGATGGCTCTGCCGGCTCCCGAGCCAGGGAATCTCCCGCTTGTGTGTTTGGGGGATGCAGAGGAGCTGCAGTGCATGCGGTGCGAGGTTTGGGTAAAGCCGGGGGAAGTTGGATGTTCGGCTCCATCCTTCCTGCCTGGGCGGCGACGGGGAGCAGCCGGGATGGTGGGGGACATCCCTGGGGCCGTAAGGGTTCGCCCTGGAATTGCTGACATCTCGGTGTGCCAAGTGCCTGATTAAACGCTTTCCTGTTACACCAAGGGGGTTTGTGTCTGCTTAAACTTGAATTATCAGTCTTCCTCTTAAAGAAGCCACTTTGCACATCTCCACAGCTGCTCACTGCAGCCTCCGGCTGGATTCTGCACAGACGTCGGCAGTATTTCCTTGGCAAAATCCTTGGTTTTCCAAGGATTCTTTTGTTTTCCTTCTGTTTTTTTTTCCACCATGGAAATTGGAGCAAACCAGTAGCGGCAGGTTCCCACACGCTGCTCACCCTGTGGGTGTCCCCAGGTGTGTGCATCCATCTCCCTCGGGGCTGTGGGTCCTCAAGAAGTGCTGTTTTCTCTCCCAGGAAGAAATGTCCTGGAGAGAGCAGCTCCTCGGTGTCAGGGAGGCCACTGCCAAGCACACTGTGTCCCAGTAGCAGCTGCCTGTGAAAAGGAAAAACACAAACTCCTGGGAGAAACCACAGGTGTTATCTCAAAATGGTTTGTTTAAACATCTCCCTGTTTTGCTCCTTTGGGTTTTTTTTAAGAGACAAACACTTCCCAGTGGCGTTTGTCCAGCCAGGACGGGTTAATCCTGTAAATCCTTCTAGGCTTGCCAAACTTTGGTAAAGGCCATGGTAAGAAGCGAGTTGTTGATGTCGGGAATAATGGAGCAGCTTGGAGTCAGGACCATCATCCCTAAAGATCGTATTGCTTTTCCCTACTGCATGGAGTGATGGAGGGGGGTCCTCCCCACCCGCGTTGTGGCTCCTGGCATGTTTTCCGCCCCGGCGTTGCTGGGGACACAGGCCATCAGCTGCCAGCATCAGTGTGGGGACCTCGGAGGCAGCGAGGGGGACGTAGACCCCGACCCTTCCCGGGGGAGCAAACCCGCTCCTTCTCTCTCCTGGTCTCCCTGGTCCCCCCGCGCTGGCTCATCCGTGGGGGAGCTGCGTGTGGGTCCCCCGGTGGTATCCATGGCGATGGGAGGCTGTCCCCCCGCCGCCCCCTCCCCTTCTCCGCCGCAGCCCGAGCAGCCGCAAGCGGCGCGGCGGCACCGCGGCAGCGGCTCCGCGGCAGCGGCACCGGGGCTCGGGACCGGGCGCGGGGAACCGGGGGAGGGACGGGGGCAAAACTGCCCCCCACCCCCGGCGGCAGCCCCCGCGCCCCAGCGATGCAGCCCCCGGAGCCGGGTCGGGCCGGCGGAGGTGAGTACCGAGACCCGGTTTGTTTCCTTTTATCCCCCCGCAAAAGCCGGCCCCCCCGGCCCCAGCCCCCTGTTCCATCAGCCCAGTCTTTTCCTGCGGTGGTTTCCCACAGCCGGGCAGGGAGGCAAGCGGTCCCTCGCCCCCCGCCCGGTACCCCCTTCCATGCCTGCATCCATCCATCCATTCATCCATCCATCCACCCATTCATCCATCCACCCATTCATCCAGCACCAACCCTGGCTGCTCAGCCACCCCTTATTTTCCTTTCCCCGTCTTCCACCTCGCTCTTAAAACCACCTCTAATTCCATAGGACACCCACCTCCCGCTAATGCTGCACTGCAGCCCAAAAAAGGTTAAGTCCAGCAAAGTTTTGGGGTTAATATTGTACATTTTGGGCAATCTCGTTACAGTCTTTGCTCCTGCTAACGAAGGAGCACTCCTGCTAACGAAGCTGGGTCATGTGAGTGCGTCTGATGCCGACTGGCTGGAGAATCTTGTCCCCCAGTCCCGCTGCTTTCTCGCCTCTCCAAGGCGCTCCTTCCCCTGTGTCCCCGGGCTGCAAACCCGCCCAGCACCTTTCTAAAGCCCGGCTGGAAACGTCTTGCCCAAATCCTGCACCCCGGGCACGGTCATAGGGGCTGGAGGGGCCCTTCCTGCGTGCAGGAGCCTTGGAGAAGCCAAGGCAGTCCCGGTGGCTCGAAAAGCGCCTGGACTGGCGAGCTGAGCACCGGCACCGGCACAGGGATGGGGGGATGCTCCAGCTGCCCATCACGCAGCGGCTCTGGGGGCTTTCTCAGAGCAGCGCTGACCTGCAGGCAGTTAGGCTGAACCTTAGAGATAAAATATGCCTTTTCTTGCCTTAAAATTGCAGGCTGGGTTTTCCCGGAGTCAGTCCCGTCACCACTGCAGGCAGCTGCTGCTCCCGGCATCCTCCCGCGTCCCTGCCTGCGTAAGGCTGGGGAAACCCGAGGGTGGGAGCTGCCCAGACCCGCTCGCCGTGAAATCCGTAGTGACAAAATTCCATGCCCCACTCCATCAGAAGCTCCCAGATAATGATCAGAGTCATAATTATTGCTTTATACCTTAAACGGAGGGCAAGGTCTCCTCTGCCCCAGCCTCTCTCCCTCAGGTTCTGCAGGTTTGCCAGGGAGAATAAGATTTTAGGGAATCTCAAACTGTAAACCTTGGAAGCACAAAGAGAAGCAGCAGCAGCCACCCGGGAGCAGGGATGCTCCCCGGCCAGCCGTGACAGGGACCACATGGATACAGCTTCCCATAAGGCCGGAGCACTGAAATGTCAAGATGTGGATTTATTTCCTTGCTTTATCCCCAAAAAACCCCATGTGATCAGGATGCCTTCTGGGCTGCTCTAATTCCTCATCAAAAGAGTTATATAAATAAGAATGACTTAAAAACTAATGATATAAAATAATGATTCACCTGACGTGCTGCAGTACCCTGAGCTGCGTAACCCAAGGACGACGGGGAGACTTGCTGGGCCACTGCGATGATCCCAACAGGACGTGTCCCAGCCAGGCTGGGCATTGGAATAAACATGAAAGCCCACTTCTGAGGGCATTAAGAAATGAAGGGAATAATTGCTTTACCCTCTCCCAGCTTCATTTTCCTGCCTTCCCTTCCCCAGGCCCTTCCAGTGGCACCTGGTGGCCAAACGGCACCACAAGCTACAGTCACCTCCTGAGGGAGAACTACACCTTCCTGGCCTACTACCAGCATTCCTCCCCTGTGGCCCTCATGTTCATCCTGGCCTACACCTTCATCTTCCTCATGTGCATGGTCGGCAACATCCTGGTGTGCTTCGTCGTGGTGAAGAACCGCCAGATGCGGACGGTCACCAACATGTTCCTCCTCAACCTGGCCATCAGCGACCTGCTGGTGGGCATCTTCTGCATGCCCACCACCTTGGTGGACAACCTCATCACAGGTGAGTGGGGCAGTGGAGGGGCGAGACACAAGACAGGGGAGAGAAAGTGGTGGGGGGAAGGAACATCCCCCACTCACCTTCTGCCCCCCACGCATGAGGCCAAGCCCTGGGTGGTTTTTGGTGAGGATGAGAAGGGCACGTGGTGGCCACTCAACCACACCTGAGGAAAGGTGTGATTTCACTTAGAGCTCCTATTTTAGGGGGGAAACATCCTTTTTTTTTTTCTTTGAGGTTTTGACTATTTTTGGCAAAATAATCTTAATGCTGCATTTGCATATTTATTTAAAGTTCAGCCCTTCTTCATCAAGCAACCCTGAAAAAAACCCTCTTCTTCCTGCATCCATCTTCTTCCGTGATGGCTCAGCCGTGCCCGTTGCCCTTTCCAAAGATAAGGGGTGACATTTGTCAGAGTTCAGCCACAGCGGCAGCCAGGCCACAGGGCAGAGTTTGTGTTTATTGATTTGTTGTGTTTATTGCCTTGGCTTTGGGGTCAAGAAACAAGATGAAAGTCCTTCTGATTGAGGATCCCAAGGTAGGTCCCCATGATAACAGCTCAAGCCCTAGACAAGGGCAGGAGAAATGGCAGCCACCATCTTCCTTGAGTTCCTAAGAGTGTCATTTTTTTACCTATTTTGGGTTTTTTCTCCAAGCATCTGTGCTGCAAAAGGCCATGTCCGTATGAGCTCCCCCTTAGGAGCAGGATTTAGCATCCCCCAGCAACAACACAGTGGATGGGGACATCTAAAGGGAGCTGGCCAAGCCCAAGGCACCTACAGCCTCCACGGTGTCCCCTCACAGGTTGGCCCTTTGACAACACCATGTGCAAAATGAGTGGCCTGGTGCAGGGCATGTCCGTCTCCGCCTCCGTTTTCACACTGGTGGCCATCGCCGTGGAGAGGTACGTTGGCTTGGGAATGTGGGAATGTGGGGCCAACTGCCTCCAGCAGGTCCAGGTGTCCTGTGTGGTTTCCATCACGGGAAAGCTCCTGGGGATGTCAGGAGCGTGTCCCAGCTCTCCATAAGGACCACTAAGCTGTCCATGGGGCATTCCAGCAAGCTGTCCTTCCCCACCGTGAAAACACCAAAGCTGGAGACACCCCAACCTACCCCTGCCACCAAAAGCGTTATGTAAAGAGCAACCCACCTCACCCTCCCTTCACACCCCCGGGTCCCGGCCGTCCTCCTTCCCCAGGGATGTCCCAGTAGGTGCCCAAAGCCACTGCCATCTGCCCTCCCCCAGGTTTCGCTGCATCGTCCACCCGTTCCGGCAGAAGCTGACGCTGAGGAAAGCCCTGCTGACCATCGCCATCATCTGGGTGCTGGCCCTGCTCATCATGTGCCCCGCTGCCATCACCCTGACTGTCACCAGGGAGGAGCACCACTTCATGGTGGACACCTACAACAACTCCTACCCTCTCTACTCCTGTTGGGAGGCCTGGCCCGAGACGGGGATGAGGAGGATCTACACAACCGTCCTCTTCTCCCACATCTACGTGGCCCCGCTCGCCCTCATCGTCGTCATGTACGCCCGCATCGCCTTCAAGCTCTTCAAGTCGGTGGCGCCTGCCCATGGCCGGGAGGAGCCGGAGGGAAGGAGGATCTCCCGCAGGAAGGCCAAGGTCATCAACATGCTCATCATCGTTGCCCTCTTCTTCACCATCTCCTGGCTGCCCCTCTGGACGCTGTTGCTGCTGACGGACTACGGGTGGCTGAGCGAGGGCCAGCTCCACCTGGTCATCGTCTACGTGTACCCCTTCGCCCACTGGCTGGCCTTCTTCAACAGCAGCGCCAACCCCATCATCTACGGCTACTTCAACGAGAACTTCCGAAGAGCCTTCCAGGAGGTCTTCAGGAACCCCCTCTGCTTGCTCCGGTGCCGCCACCGCAGGCCCTACACCCCCCGGAGCCACGGCCACGGGACCTTCCTCGGCACCCGCAACCGCGTCTTCACCCAGGCACGGACCAGCGACTCGCCCCCCGTGTCCGAGTCGGGGCCGCTGGCCCTGCGCCGCGCTGGGGCCCCCGCCTGGGACGGCTGAGTGGTCTCTGGACTGAGGGCTTGTGGGGTGGGGAGCGGGGATTTGGCACCTCATGGGCCACAGGTCACTGAAATAAAGGCGCGTCCCACCGATGCCACGTCCCTGCCTTGGCTCCTCCGCTCCCCCCCGCAGCACCACCCAGAGGGCCCCAGCTGAGCCCCCCGGCACCACAGGCCCCTGTGCTCTGTCAGCATCCCCTTCATGCAGCTCCAGTCCAGCCATGGGGCCATGGAGTGCGGGGACCAGGGAGCAGGGAGGGAGAATGGGCTGTCCCGGGCTGTGCCATGCTTGGAGAACTGTGCAGGCCTTTGCTGGCCCATACCAGGCTGTGCTGGCCCAAGCCATGCCGTCATGGCCGTGCTGCACCATGCCATACCATAGTGCTGTGGGCATCTAGGTTGGACCAAGCCACGATGGGCTGGCTGGACCGAGCCGTGTTGTGCTGGACCAAGCCACGCCATGCTGGATCCTGCCCTGCTATCGTGACCATGCCAGACCATGCCAAAGCACACTGCTGTGGCCACAGTGGACCAAGCCACCCCATTCTCTTGTGGCCATGTCGGACCATGCCACCCTGTACTGCTGTGGCCGTGCCATGTCATCCCATGCTGTTATGGCCGTGCCGTGCCAGACCATGGCAGTCCATGCCACCCCACGCTGTTATGGCCATTCCATACCATCTCACCCTATCCCATCCCATTCCATCCCTGTCCCACCCACCTCATCCCATCCCACTCCATCCCACCCCATCCCATCCCACCCCTGTCCCATCTCATCCCATCCCATCCCATCCCATTCCTGTCCCTGTCCCATCCCATCCCATCCCGTCCCTGTCCCATCCCATCCCATCCCTGTCCCTGTCCTGTCCCATCCCGTCCCATCCCATCCCATCCCATCCATCCCGTCCCATCCCGTCCCGTCCCGTCCCGTTTCCCGTCCATTCCCCATCCCATCCCATCCCCGTCACGTCCCGTCCCTGTCCCCCCGCCCAGTCCCCGTCCGTCCCGTCCCGTCCCATCCCATTCCATCCCTGTCCCCCCGCATCCCATCCCATCCCCATCCCCCAACGTCCCACGTCCCTGTCCCATCCCATCCCGTCCCGTCCCGTCCCGTCCCATCCCATCCCTGTCCCCGTCCCGTCCCATCCCATCCCATCCCTGTCCCCGTCCCGTCCCGTCCCATCCCATCCCGTCCCACCCCATTCCCGCCGCGTGGCGCAGGGCGGTCCCGGTCTCTCGGCGGCGCCTGCGCAGTGCGCGGTCGGGGGGCGCGGCGCGGCGCATGCGCGGCGCGGCGGCAGCGATGTCGGGGTTCAGCGTGGAGGAGCGCGCCGCGCCCCACAGCGCCGAGTACCGGCTCTTCTTCAGTGAGTGCCGCCGGGCACGGCGCCCCAGCCCCCGGCGGGCCGCGGGGGAGCCTGCCGGGCACCCTTCTCCCTCGCCCGCCTCGCTCCCCTGCGCGCCCGCGTGGGTCCTGCCCGCGTGTCCTTCAGCATCTCACTCGCCCCCCCCGCTTCTCCCTTTGCCTTGCAGAGGATGCCGCCGGGCGGTACATCTCCCCCTTCCACGACATCCCCATCTACGCGGACGCCGGGAAGGTAAGAGGGGATCCTGAAACAACAGGGGGATCAGGAGGTCCTGGAACATCCAGGGAGTCCTGAAACACCCAAGGGATCGGTGGGTCATGACATACCCAGGGATCGGGGGTCCTGAAAAACTCAGAGGTTGGGGGATCCTGAAAAACCCAGAAGATCAGGGGGTCCTGGAACATCCAGGGGGTCCTGAAACACCCAGGGAACTGGGGGTCTGAAGTATCCGGGGGTCCTGAAACATCCAGGGGGTCCTGAAACACCCAGGAGATCAGGGGGTCCTGAAACATCCTGGGGATCCTGAAACACTCAAGAGATCAGGGGGTCCTGGAACATCCAGGAGGTCCTGAAACACCCAGGGAACTGGGGGTCTGAAGTATCCGGGGGTCCTGAAACACCCAGGGAACTGGGGGTCCTGAAATACCTGGGGATCAGTGGATCCCAACACATCCAGGGGGTCCTGAAACACCCAGGGATCAGGGGTGGAACACCCGGGGGAGGCTCCCAGCTCCCCACACTGCAGGAGCATCTGACTGTGCAGGGAGTGGGTTTCTTGCTGTCCTGGCCTCGGGTGGAGCTACCCAGGAGAAGAGAATGGGTGATCTCATTCTCATTTTTGCATCTGAGATGTGAGTGGTTGGCTTGAGCTTACCCATAAAGGGGTTTGGGGTTAAAAACAGCGGTTTTCTGTTCAGCTGTAATATCTACATCCACTCCTATGGGTGCTGCACATTTCAGGCTTGGGGTTTGACTGCAGTGCAGCCACTTTATGCCTGCAGTGTAATCCAACACTGAACAGAGGGTAAGGATGTTGAATTCCTGCTTTAGCATCTCCTAGGACCTTGTGCCTCTCAGAACCTGCCCCATGCGGTGCTGCAGGGCTTTCACATCCTTTCAGCAGCCAGCTGTGAGTCAAATTAGGCTGTTCTGAACCAAAAAAGCCCCAGCTCCAGGAAGCCAAAATGGTTGTGATTCATTTTTCACTGACTGCATATTCACTGGCACCTCGAGCTCTCTGACTGTGTTCTGTGCTGTTGTAGCTCATCTCTTCCTCTAATATGTACTAAAAAGCTGTGCAGCTTGAGAAATGCAGTGGATGAGCTAATGTTCATTAGACAGAGATGTAATTCGGAGGTGTAGAGTGGTTCTGGGAAAGGAAAAGAATATTCTGAGTTGAGAGATGAACGTCTAAAAAAAGCAGCGGATTGAGCTACTGAGGTGTAGGTGATGAAGCTACCTGGGGTGCTCCAGGAAGCCTGCTCAGAAGGGAAATGATGGATTGTAGTCATCAAGGACAGAGGTGAAGCAGTTCCTATGGCCGAGTGGGGAAGCAGTTTTCAGTGCAGGTGTCTGAAAGGTAACCCCAGACAAGGCAAATCCGGATAATCCTGCTTTGCAGATGCTCGCAGAACAGGGGAGGAAGGAGCAGGGGAGTGAGCACAGGGGTGGGGAGGGTTTCCATGGACTGGTAATGCTTAACAGGGGAAACCAAGCTACTGGTGTTTACCTGAGGCACACAGGGCTGCTGCCAGCACCTCCGTGCCAAGTCATTCAGAGAAAAGAGTCCCAGGCACTGAAGGTCTCAGTCCCCAAAGTTACACAATGGTGCTGATCACACCAGGCCTCCCTCTGTGGCTCCAGTGCCTCTGCACTGAGGTTTAACTCATTACTGAGCAGGTGGGTTGCCAGCTCTGTTATAGAGCCCAGCTCGGAGCCAAAGGTTGTCTCACTCTGTCTGGGCTCCTTGATCTTTATCCTTAGACTCCTAAGACGCTGAGAGGATTGCAGGGTGTTTTTTCCGGTCTGGGGCTGGGCTGTGTTGGTCTTATCTGTACCTGAGTGCCTTGGAACGACCTTGGGCTGCTCACTGAGTGTCTTAGGCCAAGGCAGATCTGACAGTGGGGGAACTCCAAGCCTTACAAAGATGCAGCTCCAAGTCACCTTTCCCTGCCTGCAGAGCTGTGAGCACCCTGCCCAGCCTGATCCCAGTGCCTCATTCCTCTCCTCCAGTTAGGAATAAAAATAGGGTGTACCTTTTTACATGCAAAACGCAAATGAGCAGTGACCCCTGCAATTAAGGGGGGTAATAAACCTCTGCTAGGGCAGGGTGTGAGCAAAGTCAGTGATGTAGCAGTGCTTGTTGCACAGTATCAGTCTAATAATGGCGCAATACACGTTCGAGGGACTTTGCCGTGCTAATACAGCTTAAGGTGGGGATTAGAAACCTTGTCCAGGCTAGGGAGCAAGGTTTGACTTTTTGTTGAAAAGCCATAATCTCTTCAAGCAGCAGATGTTGAGGTTCAAGTGTGGGAAAGCTTTTCTGGATGAGGAGGCTGACACTGAGGTCTCAAGAGGCCTCAGCCCAACGGGATCAACAGGAGATGTTTTCAAGCATCACCTGTAAACTAAATACTGCAAGATGTGGTTCTGCATTTCTCCTCCCCCACCTTTATCCTCACACCGTGCCACTAACGAGGTCTTCTTTTATAGGAGTGTCAGCTTGGAGAGAGGGCATCCTTCCCTACATCATGACAGATGTTTGGGAGCGATGTCCTCGGTCATTCAGGGCAGAACATAGATACCCACATTATTAAGTTGGTGGCTTGTTCCTGTTAGTCTTATCTTTTCTAGATGGCCAGAGCGGCCCTTGCTGGAACACCGAGCACTTTGTATTTAATAAATATGCCCCAAACCTCATTTTGTTACGTCCAGGATAGTTTGTATGCAGCTGTCTTCAGTTCATTTAACCTGCTGTTCTGTGTCCTAGGAATGTGATGGGGATGTTTGTAGGTGGCAACTGATGGAGAATGTGGGGGTAACCTGCAGAATGTGTGGGTAACCTCAATCTGGCCTTTGCTGGGGTCTTTTCTGGGATTCAGCTTTAAGTGATTCCATGTGACTGACTGGGCTATGGGAGTTTCATCAGCTGCATCAAAAAAAAAAAACCCACAGAAAAAAATCTTAGGGTTTCATGGGAGCTGGCTGGCATGTGTTTCCTAGTTTAAAGTGTGGTCTTCCTTCCCACTCACTGATGTTTTGCTTTCTTCAGAATGTGTTCAACATGGTTGTGGAAGTACCTCGATGGACAAATGCTAAAATGGAGGTAACTACATTACAGTTCCTAGCAAAGGGGCTTGAGCTGACTAAGTCTTAATCTTTGGCTCTGCTGATTCTCTCCTTCTCAATCCCACCTCCAGAATCAGAGTGGTTTCTAACTTCTCCTGTCAGTACTTGCTCAATGCTAGAGGTCTGGCATGGAAGCTGAGATTGCAGAAGTTTGCCTGGGTATTCTTCTGTGGCTTCTGATTAAAGCAGCATTTTATGGCTCTTAACCCCATGTGATTCTGATGCTTGGGAGTCTGCTGAAAACTGTATCCCAGGAGATGGCAATGCAACAGGAAAACGGAGCTGTCCAGTATCCGCTGTTGGCTTCAGGGTCAGCTCCTGGTCTCTTGGCTTGTCAGTTCCATTAAAAAAAAAAAAATCACTTGTTTTTTCCATAGAG